CAGAGGGCAAAAACCACCCCCAACACCCCAAGAAAACAGCCCTCCCCATTTGCCTCCTCAGTTGCTGGACTCCTGTCCTTAATGCATACTATTATTATTCTTTTCGAGATCAAAACATGTGGAACAAAACTTGCCCACTGTAAATAAAATTTGTGCATCTGTGCCCCTCATTTTTCTAGTACAGCCACTGGCAGCAGCACCCATCATTTTCTAGTATTATTATTAGTTTTATCATTTTAAAGAAGAGGAAGAAAGTGGATGAGAGAGAGCAGGATAAAAAGAATCAAGGAGATGAAGCAGGAAAAAAGAAATTGGGGGGGGGGGAGCGTAAAAATACTATAAGTGATCCCAGCATTGGAGGATGAGACTGAATGTAGGTGGAGGGAGGGGGGCTGGAGGAGAGGCGGAAAGAGGAGCTAATTTGTCTGTGGATAGGGGCACAATCTGGATGGTTCTGCCGGGGCACAACATTACCTAGCTACAGCTGTGGGCCTGGAGGGGGTCTAAAAAGAACACAGCAGGTACACACTTGTTAAGGGGGGTGGGGAGAGTATGTTTAAGTTGAAGAATGACAGTGGGAGAGTGTGGTAGATCACTGCCAGTTTTTGATATTGGTCATAGCCTCCTGGAAGTTGGACGTGCCTGATGTAGGGGAAGGAGGGGAAGAATTACCGTATATCAAAAGCATGGGTGGTCGGTTGATTTTTTGCCAAGTAGAAAATTAGGATCACATCTAAGCAGTGCCTAAGAGGATGCAAGATAGTATTTTCTGTTAATAAACTCTTGAAGCTGTGTTTAGAGTGTGTGTGTTAAATGGCTCTTTATTCCGACCAACTGACCTTTGCTGAAGAACATGGATGACATTCAGTTAAAACTCTTTTTCTGAGTCACTTCAATGCAATAGTGGATAATACATTATAGGCATTGAGAGAGATTGTAACTGACATTATTTTGGAAGGCTATGAAGAACAAAATCCATTGTGAATAGGCAGGGAGCAGAGAACACCATCAAGGACAAAACAGAAAGTATTTGAAAGCACTAAAAAAGAGGAGATGTTGATGACAACAACAAAGCCGCAGAGAGATTATCAAAATAACCTGAGAAAAAAACGCTAAACCAAAAGACGCATAAGGGTCAAATAACAAGTATTGCCAGTAAGATTAGTAATATAGCACATGAAGAATAAAAAGAAAGATCCTTTACAAGCAATAGCTGAAAGAACTCTACAGTGGAGAGAGAACCCAAAGGTAAGAGAAGTTCTGCTATGCATTCTCATGGGAAATGAACTAGCATATTCACCTAATGCAGTGATCAATTTTCCTGACTAGGACGTGGGTGGGTAGGTTAAAATGTATACAAACAGCTATGTAGAGAAATGCTTAATGCTAAATACTGTGTTCATAATAATATTTGGTTTGGATTTGGGAGCCCCACGTTTAAGTACAGTAATAGTAATGCAAATACTGTGAAAAGGCATCTCCACCCAACTAAAAAAGTGCTGAAACATGGACTTCTTTGCACAAATGAAAACAGTCTAGGGAAGGGGGCTTTGAGGTCTTCAGTGGGTGGAGTTACAGCTCTGTGGCAGTTCCAGAAGCAGAAAGAAAAGCCAACAGCACAGAGACCATATCTTCTTTGGGAAATGAACAATGCCCATAATTTGTATGAAAGACACTGTTAAAGCAAGGTAATGAAAGGAATCAAATCACCAAGTGAAGCAACGAAACAAAATGCAAAGCATTTTTGCAGTCTTTCTGCTGACATAGATGACTACTTTAACTAATCTAAGGTACTGTGAAACTTCCATTTAACTTGGCAAAATGTTACCCCAGGAGATGAGAGAACTTGCCCTGGGATAGTTTTATCACTGGCATGATCTCCTAGTTTGACTTAATTTCTTGGAGGCTTTGGCTGACAGTAATAATCTATTAAAGAAAGTAGGGTGTGTTTCTGAAAAAAATAAATGCTTAGTATACTTGCAATGCAAGTATGGCAAAGTTTGGGTTATCTGCTCTGAACAGCAGATAGAGTAGAATAAGATGTGCCTTCTTTCCTGCTGCTCAACTTTCTTCAACTTTGCGCTTGCTGCTCCGATGTGAGTTGGCCCATAAGCCTGTTACAAAGAGCAATAACCACCTTATCTGCCTTGTCAAAGGTTGGGTGGACTTGTTTTTATTTTGCTTCTCTTCTTCTTCACCAAGCAACTCTGCAAACAACAACATTTTAACACAAAGCTGGAGCAAAAGGAGAGAGAATTAATAAGTACTATATATTTTTCCCAAGTGTTAAAACAATATTATTGATTTTGTGTGTGCAGGTGGACATGCAGGTATAACTTTCAGGAAATTTACCAAGTGCCTGAAGCACACATAGGCATGATTTTCAAGATGTAATCTAGGTCCAGAACCTGACCCCTCTCAGGTGCATTCCAATCCCCTTTAATTTTGTTGTTGTTCTTGCAAAGTCTATCTCTAGCCTTTTAATTTTTGAACTACAAGGGGAAATGTGTAGACAGTATTCTGCCTGTTCTCTAGGTAAGAGGTAAGACTTCCATTGTTGTGTTCCACAAGAGCAAAGAGCTAGGCCCTTGTTTCTATTATATTAAATATTACACAATCATGGAAGTGATACAATCAAATAGGCATGTGCATATTAGGCTAGGAGTTGCAGCTGGAAGTGTGCATGTCATGTGAGCTGCCCTGCACCCTTGAACCTGCCCTCTGCCCTGCAGTGTGGTGGAGGCGACCGTCCCTTGACCAAGTGCTGAAGAAGCTTTAGGTCCCCTAATTCCGAGAGTACAAAATTATTGACCTCAGTAACGGTGGGCAAAAGCTCCTCTGGAATCACTCTCAGGCTAGATAGGAAATAACAAAGACTTGCGACTCAGCTAGACTGGTAAAGAAAAAGTGATTTATGCATATGTGTTGCATATGCGATATAACATTGTGCCACCAGGTGGTGACGTGCAGTCCTGTTTTTCTCTCCCTGTTTTCCCTGTTTAAATTTACAACGCTTCTTTGATATCTCTAGATCCAGCATTGGGTAAGATTCTGGATCTTCTTTTTTTCTTGGTTCTCTGTTACCCTCGAAGGGTGGCTCCTCTTTGTTGTGTCCTCCCCTTTCAGCCTTCCTCTGTGTGCCCCTTTGCAGTTGTTCAGGTGGGACATGTGTAGGATCAGAGTTTCCTCCTCCCACAAGAGCAGAGATAAGACACCCCACGGAGGCCTGCGTATGGAGACAGAGTGAGCCAGGTGCTGGGATGTCTCTCTCATCTAGCTGTCCTCTGCCAACGTCACTCACAGCCCTCTTGCAAAAGGCGCCTGGTGAAGAGAGCCGGCAGAGATGCAGTCGGCCTCAGTCATGCACAGCAGCAGAAATGCCTGTTCACAGTTGCCTTCACAGTTGATCAGACTTACTTATACTGTAATAGACCCTTACAAAATGCAACCGGAGAAACAGATCCCAAATAACAGAGGAGCATGAAGTATAAAAGAAACAAAACTTTGCATGCATCCACAACTCACGCTGAGATCATCTGAGTTCTTATTTTAATTACCAAACTTCTTCTTTTTTTTAATGGGCTGCCATTCTGGTAATATACTCTTCTTTCCTTTTCATAAGGAATTCTAGCATAGCACATGTTGGCCTATTAAGAAAATGCTATAGGTGTGGGAGGATCAAATCCTTCCTAATGGCATTATAATGTCTACAATAAAACAAAACACAACAAAGATATTCCTGACAGCCCTCCTCCTCATCTTTCTTCCAGTGGAGTCCAGGTAAATCGACCCTCCTAGCAGAAAATTACAGCACAAGAGCATAAAAGCTCTTCAAAGTTTAGGAAAGTTAAGAAAGTATTTAGGAACACGGGGGGGTAGAAAGAAAGGGGCCTGTACTCACCATGCAGTTGTTACATTAAGTGCCACACTTTTAGCACGGGGGAGTTGCCGGTACTGTGTTCCCTTTAGTATCCTCAGAGTCCCCTGCCTATACATTCTCCAGAGTATATCCAATGCTCCCCACCAAACAGCGGCTTCAAACAACAGCTGGGCTACAGTCTTGGGCCTATAGATCTGGAGAGCAGCTGGAGCAAACTGTCCATCTGTAGCATAAAAAAGCAGATTGTGGCCTGAGAGGTGTGAGATACCATGGCTATAGCCTGCGTGATGTGGGTTTTCCATGTTAAGGAGTGAAAAAGAATCTGCAAGTAACTGTCACTTGCTCTAACAGATGGCTAACCGCATATCACTTAGAAACAGAACTGCTTCTAGAGAAAACCAATAACAGAGCTTTATCATGATTTACAACCAACTTCTCATTAATACAGTATGAAGAAAATGACTTTAAAGCCGTCCTAAGGCCCACCTTTGTTAAGATGACAGCGAAGCAAGATCTGCACACAGTGATGTACTGTTGCACGCCAAGACCAACCTCCGAGTGGTGCGAGAGCCTAGGCGTTGCAGGTTCATGTTTCCTTTTGTAAATGAGGCGCAGTGGAGACAGTGGTGTCTTTGTGATATCTAGTTTATTGACAACCTGAGCCTACAGTGGAGGGGTTCACAGCATTAATGCCCCAAAGGGGTCTTGTTTCTCCCATGCTTACAGCCTTAGATTCAAACAGAAACCAGAGATTACTCTCAAATGTTACTCTGACTCTCGTTTCAGCTTTCTTCTTTACTTATAGGTCACATCACTCCCATATTCAACTCTGGCTTATTCTGTTGGAGGGGGGCCTTTCCCTCTACCGTGCACCGAGACCCTTAATCTCCATTAATAGCTCATCACCTGGCCTCTCACCTCCCCAGGAGGCTAGCCTGGCTGTTCCAAGAATTAGAAGCCTTAATTAAATTCTAATACTTGCTGGATCCAGGGATTAGAAGGGCCAGGCGCCCTGCGTAACACTCCAAACTCATAACAATATTAATGGATGTGATTCACAGTTTGGCAGCATGAATCTCTGGTGAACTGAACTAGAATCAGACAAGTACAGATCAAATAGGGAAATAAGATACATCCTTCTCTCTCTCTCTCTCTCTCTCTCTCTCTCTCTCTCACACACACACACACACACAGAGAGAGAGAGATAGAGAGAGGGGGGGGAGAGATGCTATGATATGCTTTGAAAGCTGACCACCTGGAGCACATCTGACATGCAGGAATGTCCCCAAGTACAAACACCTAATCCTATAGGTCTCTTCTAGTTCCTCCCATAAAAAGATAAGTGGGATTAAGACATTAAGTATTAGCTACTGGTTACCTGATTTCTAGCACTCCTTTTACATAGCAGTAACTTCTTGTGTTATGGAACTATCACTTTTTGAACAATATACCTCCATGTTACACTAATTTTTAAATGGTGTTAGAACTGTACACTGTTATGCTGCCCCAAATTTCAGCAGCATGCAACTTCTGCAATTCTCCATGTCAAGGGGATTTCAGACATATTTTTTTCTGGGAAGAATTAACATGGAAACAAACACTAAATGTCCGCTAGATTCCACTAGATTTCCAGAAATGGCTTTTATGTCATGTGAAATATCATGTAAAATGTGAAAATGAAAAGGTCAGCAAACATGTGCATATGTTGCTTATATGATGCATAGAGGTGCTGCTGCTGCTGTATTGCACAATATGTTTGAGCAGGCAGTGAGTAGGTGGCGGGCAGAGCGGTGAGTGAGTAGCAACAAGGTGTTGGGAAATGGAAAGCTGTGTGCCTCATAGCCTGCCCTGAAGCCCCTCAGCTAGCTTGCTGCCTTCAGGTATGGCAGACGGTACTATCGCCATTGCCAGTGGTGAAAATGATGCAGCTGTCACTGCAGTGAGTTTGTGTATGTGGAAAGTGGAATGTGGAGAGGAAATTTTCTCGTTCTTTGACTCAGGCTGCAAAATATCTTGGGCCACCCCTGCCCTGGCTTCAGCTGTTCACCCACCTGCCTCTGCCTCTGGTTTTGTCCTCCTAGACCTCTGACACTGCTGGGATGGCCCAGCTGCAGTTCACAGCACCACCTGTTGCCAGCCATGTGAACTGCAATGTGAAGACATCCTTAGGAAAATATGTATTAGGAGAGATAAATCAATGGTTCACACTAGTCAGAAGGGAAAGGTTATATTCTCAATGTGGAAAGGGGGGTGGGTAGAGTCCCCTGAGAATTATTTCCACATTTCATCACACTCTAGACATGTGCAGAAGTGGTCCTGAAGCACAGCAGAAATCAATCCACTGGCTCCCTTATCTTAAGTAAATGGCACAGGCAGTAATATGCCTGCCTACATCCTGCTTCTGGAAGCCTCAGTTCACACCTCTTGCTTATATCTGTTACTGATGGATGAAATTCTCTTCGTTGCAGTTCAGAAATAAGTCAACCTATCACCCCACTCCCAAATTGAGAAACAGTTTAGCTAATTTGGGGGACAAACTGCATTTGAGCCTATCGGCCAGACTCTTCCCTCCCATTGCATTTACTGGGCTGGTGCCGAGCAAACTGCAGCACCAAAGGAAAACAGGCATCTGTCTCCCCCCTTTAAAAAAACACCTACATTTTCCTGGAGCTGCTTGTGACCTGGCCAAGTGCCAGAAGCAGAAGATTGAGACCTCCCTCTCTTTACTCCATAGTTGTTGCTGCTGTGAAGCATCACCAATATCTACACCACAGGAGAAGAGATGTAAATTGTCCTCCATTTCTATCTTGAAGTGTATTAGTTAAAGAAAGGCATTTCTCCTGTTACATTTCTCTCACATTCTGCATAACAAACCATTTATGTCAGTTGCATAGTTGTGTAGCCTGCAATCTGACTACATTACTGGCTGTTGGTTAACTCTGCATGCATGCAGACTGCTTCTGTATTGGTTTTTGTCACTTGCACCCATTCATAGATGAAGAATCCTCCCCCCCACACACACACATTAATGTTTAGAAAACAAAAGGAACAATCATTCACAGCCATCATCACCTCAGCATAACAGAGGACTTAGAGAATATGTAAAATTTCTTTTTCTTCTCTCTGTCAAGTCTGTCAGTGGGAAAAAAGATATCAGAGTCCAAAGATGTCAACAAATGAATAAAAATGCAAAATAAATAGTTACATAAACTAGAATAGCAACTGATGAAGTAGTACATACATTTCAGCAGCCTTAAAAATTTTAAACAAACCAAAGTGGGAGTTTTTAAGTGGGGAATCTGACTCTGATAGTGTGTTGAAAAGATGAAAATTCATGCCTGGGACAGCATGAGTGAAATTCTTCCCTGGCTTAGATTAAATTTGAGGGGTGTGACCTCATTTGATCTCATGTGCCCAAAAATATGATTCTTGGCAATACTACTAACGAGATTATTATATTTATGTATCTAACATTCAAAGAGCGCAAAGTCTTTGCAAACTTTTCTGTGATCTGCTTACCTTGGTTAGCTTTGATATTTCAGCCACATTCCAAACACTTTTATAAGATGTGCCACTTAATTATGGTGGTCCTTGTTATTCTTGTGCCCTGGATTCTTGGACACAGGGCTTGTTGAAGTCAGTAGCTTGTGTTTTGGCAGTCAGGTCTGACAGACATCTGCTTTTGTGAAAAGTGTTGTTAGATTGCTGCACCCGCCATTGCCTTTTCCTTTGTCCTTAAGACTCAGACAAAGGCATTAAGTGATATGAATCCTTGTCCCCAGAAAGAGATGCGATACTGATCGCTGTGCTTGCATTCTAACAGTTTAGGAAAGTGTCATAACAGCAGCTGGCAAATGGGAAAATGCCAAATATAAGTGAGAGTCTTGCAGGTCAGTATGATTTACAGTGCTCCTGTAAATGCAGTTAGCAAAAGAAGTATTGTCGCAGAAACAGCAAAAACACAGCAAAACAGCCCAACTCTCTTTCAAACATGAGACCCAGCAATAAGTCTTGAAAATGCTTCTCTAACCATATCGCGTGCCTGTCAATTCATAAGGAAAGGTTTGTCGCAAGGATTGATGATAAAGAGTAATGGGAAAGGAAAAGGAGAAGGAGAAGAGATGATTGATGTCTGGAGAATATTGGATGCAATATATGTTGTATACAGCAGGCTACATATCAGTGACCCTCAGGATATTTTTTTTTAAGCCACTGTAAAAAATTGTAATAGCTGAGATACAAAATATTGTTTAAATGCTTGGTCCACTAAAGTGGGAAGGTTGTTTTGGAGCATGTGGTGTGGTGTAGTGATTAAGAGCGGTAGACTCGTAATCTGGTGAACCGGGTTCGCTTCCCCGCTCCTCCACCTGCAGCTGCTGGGTGACCTTGGGCCAGTCACACTTCTCTGAAGTCTCTCAGCCCCACTCACCTCACAGAGTGTTTGTTGTGGGGAAGGAAGGGAAAGGAGAATGTTAGCCGCTTTGAGACTCCTTAGGGTAGTGATAAAGCGAGATATCAAATCCAAACTCCTCCTCCTCCTCTTATCCTGGTCAAGCACCCTAGCTCCCTCAACCATTCCTCATACGGCTTGATTTCCAGACCTTTGATTATCTTGGTCAAGGATAGCTCCATTAAAGCAACTGTAGATAATAGGGACTGTAAATGTGGTGCTAGATCAATGCAGAAAGAGATGTTTGGAGACAAAAAGACTCTTCTGTGCGCTTTCTGTAACTCTGAAAGCTCCCTGTTTGTTAATGCAATACTATAGTACTATAGAAAGATACGACGGGAAGTGCATCTCCCAAGGCTGTAACCAGGAACAGAATGGCCAGATTTCATGCTGGATGTAGCACCTAAGCTTTTGAACTGCTAGATCCTGTTAGAAGCAGAATCATTCAAAACTAGCACTTTGGTTAGCTTGTATTTTTTTTTTTTAAGCCTCTATTTTAGCATACACTTGGAGGACCTTTTATATGGGTTTCCTCCAGCTGTTTGGGGAGGGTTTATTTGCTATGTGTGATATGATACTACACTCACCATGTGTAGATGCATCAGGAAATACAATGCTTTGCTAATTTTTAGCATCATATTTACATTTTCAATTGTCTGCCAAAGCAGAATCACCCCACTCTATATTTTCCTGCCCTTTGCATCCATTCACGGTAGAGAGAACACCACTTTCTTTCCTGTTAAAGTGGGAATGTGTGGGATTTCACTGGTTACATTAAGACTGTATTCAGGTAGGTAGCCATGTTGGTCTGTTGGTCTGTTGCAGTCGATTATACACACACACACACACACACACACACACACATATAATTGTCCAGTAGCACCATAGAGACCAACTAAGTTTGTTCTGTTTGTTGGTTACGACTGTACAGTTAAGACTGTAGACAGCCCTCAAAATCCCTTGGCTATTAATCAAATCTCCAATTTCACCTTTACACTTTGCTTTGGGTCACCATGGCTGGCAATTTATTCAAAAGAAGTCAGCCTCCATTCAATTAATTTTATGGGCATGTACTGAGTTCCTTAGATGCCCCCAAAATTCAGTTATGAATTTCTCAAAATTTGGCAGGGCTTTATGGGCCAGTGAGGCAGCCACTGCACCTGAAGCCCCACCACACATGGCAACAGGGGCAAGAGGTGGGGGGGGGGGAGCAGTATGATAGCACAGTGATTGGGTTCAAATCAGGAATGATGCCATCCTGGGGTGGCAGTGGGACAGATTCAGGATTCAGTGGCTCCTGGGCTGGGACAACCTCTTAGTGTTTTTAATATTCTGCTGGGAGCCACCCAGAGTGGCTGAGGAAACCCAGCCAGATGATGATGATGATGATGATCATCATCATCATCTTAGTTTCCCTGCCTCTAGAATAACCCATTTCAGGGTCTTCTGCTGACTCCCATCAGCAGGAATCCCATGAGCAGCACTTCCACTCGGCTGCATATTCAGCAGGTGTAAGGGGAAGCAATGACAGACGAAGGCTTCGCTTCTTCAGCAGAGAATGACTTAGCTAGCAGAGCTGGGTGGAGGGAAACCTCAGTACCCATCCCCATGTCTCCTGGGTGCTGTGGTGCTGGATTCCTCCCTTGAGCAACATTCAGGACCAGGACTGGCCCGAGATGTTTTTCTGCTAGAGGAAAACAAAGCAGGCTGTCCCTGCGGCCCTTCCTGCTGCACAGTGTGCCCACTGCACATCCCCCTACCCCCTGCCTCGTCTTCCTCCGCTGCCCA